GGTATTTTATACACTATTTACATTATTCAGACTATTGTCCTCATCTTTGTCGCCATATTTATCCGATCCTTCAGTAGTTGTCTTGATTTCTGAGATGAGGTATTTTATACACTATTTACATTATTCAGACTATTGTCCTCATATTTATTACAACGTTTCAGTTGTTGTACACTCTGGCCTTCTTCCGGTGGTTGCAATGTCAAACTGAACCCTTTATTTTGCTCACTGAGGAAGACTGTTCTAGTTCCACGTGCCATGCCTAATGGATGTCAGTTATCTCCTGCTTAATTCCCTCTCCAAGTTCTCCACCGCCTTAACCAAGTACTGAACTCACACTCTTTGGGTCCTGTCACTGGATCTAACTAATGCCTTTATCCACTGTGCCATGTGTCCAGTAAGGACAGTGGATAAAGGCATTGTGAGAGAATTACGCAGGAGATAACTGACATCCATTAGACATGGCACATGGAACTAGTCTACCCCAGTGAGTGAAATAAAGGGTTCAGTTCGACATTCCAACTACCTGAAGAAGGCCGGAGTGTATAACAACTGGAGTGTACAACAACAGTAATAAATATGGCGACAAAGATGAGGACAATAGTCTGAATAATGTAAATAGTGTAAATGATACCTCATCTCAGAAATATAGACAGATGCCAAAACTATGGTTGAATAATAGATGTGTAAATATTTGGTCTCATTGGAAATGTAGCTTGCAAAATGCCATATATTTTCTTAAATAGATAAAACTTGTCTGACTTTGACTCCAGTGACCCCTTAGTCACGCATCAAACTTGCCTAAAGACATGAAGACTAGAAATCATCATCTTAAACATAAAATAATTGGAAGACTGGTGCAATACAATCTTCTTTCATAAAAATTAATCTCCTTTTGTTTAGCCTTGTGCCAGACTAAGCTTGACCTGGAATTTTTTGTTTTTAAATCATTTCCCCCCAGGCAAGGTGATACTGCTACTAAGATGCAAGCAGTTATTGGGAGAAAATTTGAAGATGTTTTAGAAAGAATTGGGGGAGCCCAATCCTAAACAGGAAACAAGCGATAAACCTCTACTTCTGTTCAAGACATTGGGGAGGAGTGTGAACCGGATGATAAGTGACCCTATCTATTCCTATTAAGTGTCCAAGCAATTTTCTAACTTAATCTCCCTTCCTTCCACTAAGCACGAGATTTAATAAAATCTTCAAATAGCACTTGAAATAATGCATGGCACCATTACAAATGGAGGGCGGGAGGAGTAAGCTTCCAAATCATTATCTATTTATACTGAATACAAAAATCAAAGAAAAACTATTAAAAAAAAAATAAAAAAAAGATTTGACAGGTACTATTAGAACATGACCCACAAGTTGCAAAATTTCTGTCTTGCATTGAATTTTTAAAGTTCCTTTCATGTTGTTTACTTTTGAACATTGAACAGAAAGGTGAGGGGGGGGGCATAAAGAAGAAAAATAAGAGAGACAAAGATCTGAGAAAGTCTTAAGATGGGAAAGAGAGTTGGAACTTTTCAGAGGTTATTACGATGCCAAAAATGAACACTATAATATCACTCATCTGGTTAATTAGATGAAGAGGAAAATTGATGAACTTTCAGGAACCTTTCATTGAAAGAGTTTGCTTTTTTATTTATTTATTTTTTTTTTTTTTACAGCTTATCAACCCTTTGTGGACAGTTCAGCACATGGGAATACCAGGTGCTGTAAGCATGAATGTGAGGATGGTGTAATGGATAATGGCTCGGAATTGTTAATTGGAGAGCAGAGTTCCAATTCCCATTGGGTTGGTTGTATTCACTTAAACACAAATACCCTTAAGAAAGGAATGACTCCACCTATTCTCTCCCTAGCTATGGGTTGATTAGTAAAATTGTATCACTAAAACCATTATTATCATGAAAAAAAAATTCTTACAATCTAAGAATATTTTCTGGCTTTAAATAACCTGCAAAGTGTTAATAAATTGACTCAATCAATTGCTGCTGTGGCAAAGAATAAGAAAGTGAAACTATTAGGTTGGTGCAAAAATAATGACGTAATAATGTCGTTTTTTGACCTTAAAAAATACGTCAAAAAACGACATTATTACGTCATTATTTTTGCACCAACCTAATAGCTATCCACTAAAAATAAGGCAGGAAGAACATCAAAAAGCTGTAATTAGGGGCATGGCCATAAAATCAGGTATAGCTGATCATGTATGGAGGGAAAAGTGTTGTCATTAATTCCTGTAGAATGAAGTAAAATTACTAGACAGGGAGGAACACAGGAGAATCAGACATTTGAAAGAATTATTATAGAATTCTGCTTGTCCTCTGTTTGCTGAGTTAGTTCCTTAGTTATTTCACATGACTATTATGCCATGCCAATGCCTCATAAATAATGGACTATTCCATTTTAACTGAGTGAAGATGGAAATGGCATATCAGAGACGCTACTTGGTTTCACTGAGAAAATCAAAGAATGTAAAGAAAGATATGTGTTTAACAAAATATCGCAATAAACAATCATCTTATAACTGTGCATGTCCCTCCCTTCTTTAGTTTGCATGAATGTTATGTCCTGTCAATACTTCATAAATAAGGGACTCTCCCTTTTTGGTTAACTAGAATGAAGGGAAAAGACACTACTTGGTTTCAATGAGAAAAAGAAAGAATTAAAGAAAGAGACAATAGAAGTGTTTAATGGCTGTTTCAGTGAAATGGAAAAGGTGTCAATTTTAAATCTTTTTTATTTGTACCCTCTTACTTCTTTAACAAACAACCTGCATTCATACTTATGATTACTATTACAATATTTCTTTTTTAAGTTGTTAAGCTCATATATTTAACGTGGCAATGGGAGGATTTTAAATGGTTATTTCATAAAAGCATTTATTCATACCTCATAACTTTTAAATGATCCACTATTGCTATCATCCCAGGGTCTTATTATTAATAATACCCTTGGCACTTGAGATCCATTCTTGAGTGTACTGCTCAGTCACTTTTTTTTTTCCTCCAAAGTTGTAGAAATTGTATGAAACAAATTCAATCACTAAATTAAGAATTAGGATTTATAAAAAAATCCAAATAGAAGTTTGAAATTTTCACAGATATCATGAGTTGAAACAATAGTCAAATAATTCAAAGAAATCATTTTTGTGAAATATTATCAATATGGTTTTTATTTAAGTGGTATTGTTCATAATTTATTCAAATGTAGAAAGAGGTTTGCAAAAAAAAAAAATTCTTTACAACAACAGAAAAATTTCTCTTTCTTCAGTAAAAAAAACAACCCCCCAAAAAAAAAAAAAAAAAAAACAGTTGAAAAATTTTCTTCTTTTCGTTTTTCTCCCCCCTCCCTGCAACAAAAAAAAAAGGCAAATTTGAATTTCTGTCTGAAGTGAATAAAACTGGAAACAGAAACACTGTTTGAAATTCATCCACAGATCAGTAAATCACAAGCAAATCAAAATCAAAAGGAGAAAACAATTGTGTAAAACAACATAGAAAATAATATTTGATCAAACAAAAGAAAAGTGTGGGTTATTTTATTAAATATTTCTTTTTGATTCTTTTATTGGCCAGACTGAGAACTTATAAGCACCTTCACTTGTGTATATATCAGATGATGCATGTGTGTGTGTGTGAGAATGTATGTATGTGTATGCATGTATGTAATCCAGTTACTTATGCTTAAATCTAAGTTTTCCTTCTTGACATGTGGTGGGTAAGTGAATGACAAAATGAAAAAGAAATCCTATGTTGACCTGTTTCATCCCTCAAAAAGGCCTTCTTCAGACTAAATAATGTTTTTCTGATGAGGTCACGTATACTTGGGGGAACTGAATGAAACCTAACAAACGTCAGTTATAGTTAGACGTCACGAGAAATGCTGAAGATGCAGGGAGGTTTAACTTCAAATTTCAAGTGCGGAATGCAATGAGAGGCATAATCTAGCTGACATCCTCCAGTTTTCTTCCACGTTTGTTTTTAAAATCGTCGTTTTTATATTTAATTACTAGTCACTCTGAAGAAGTCGTTTCAAAATACAAACATGAATCATATAGGAATGTTTTACTATTTTGTTATTCAATTAACCACCATCAGTCTAAGATATACATTATATATATATATATATATATATATATATATATATATATATATATATATATATATATATATTATTTTGAACAATTAAAAATATTAAAATCTTCAGACACACTGGGTTGTGTAGATTAATATTCTTTTGTTTTTTTTTATTATTATTTCATTTAAATTCATTTTTATTCATTTTATATATATATATATATATATATATATATAAATGAATCTAAATGAAATAATAATAAAAAAAGACAAAGAATAAAAGAATATTTATATATATTTATATATATATATATAATATAAATGAATCTAAATGATATAATAATAAAAAAGACAAAAGAATATTAATCTACAACCCATATATATATATATATATATAGTTTATTTGTCGTATTCTCTCATAGGATCATGTGCAGTGGTACAGTTATATCAGTAGTAATATTAAAGTACATTTCTATCACTCAAAAAGCTTTGAATAGTTGATGAAGTCACTGAAACAATACCTTGAGGACAATTTGACATTACTAAGCATTAAGTCATATAAGAGAAGGTTATGCTCCTGCAACCTTATTAAACCAGACCTGATTCCTCAGGTATTGACTAAGGAAGATAACTAAGGATGTATAATGTTTAATTTCTAATTACATTTGTAACTGGAAAAAGTCAGCCAGGTAATTTCATTTGCACCTTAAAGCGCTTTGAAGGAAGAATGGCTTCAATTTCATTTGCACATGAAATAACTTTGGAGCAAAGAATATAAAATATCAAAGCTAAGAATCAGATTTGCATAAGAAATATTTTGCATGTTAGAAATTGATCAGAGTTGAGATCATCACCAGCAGAAATGGAATGTCAAAAGACGGCTTCAGTTCCACCGTAGACACCTTGCAGTTCGATTTAATTTTCATTGGATGGCAATGTGATGTCGATGGTGGGGAGCAAGTTGCATGTTGTAATGATATCAATCTTGTCTTGGATATGAAACAAATCATTGGTCAGCAGGCGCATGTTGTGGGAAACATCCTGAAAGAAGAGAGGTTAAAAAAAAAAAAATAAAGAACAAAACATGGTGAGTTACATAATTTGGAGCTAGATTAAGGTCACAACAGACAAATGTAATAATGAATGACACACTGCTAAGTTTTATTTATTGTACAGCTCTAATTATCTGAGTGGGGTGTCTGTGTTCAGTCATCAAAACAATTCTTCATCTTGAGGTTTCATTTTCTCTTAAATAGATTTGTATTATATACAGATTCTGCCAAAAATATGTATACATGCTTCAGGAAAGGAAAAAAAATTATATATATATATGTTTTAAGACATTTTTATGTTTATACATTAATTTTATAGATACAAGTATTTAAGTAAATGTTCTGTTTATAATAAACAGTATTAAACAACATTTACTGGCCTGAATGTCCGAGAAATTTTCACAGAAAATATTCGTCCTCCGACAGGATTCAAACCTGTATCCTATAACTATACATGTCATATATATATATATATATATATATATATATATATATATTGTAATACTAAATTTATTCAGAGATTAATACAAGTTATGTTTGGACTCTACAATCATAACAGATGCTCAAAATGGTCACCTTTAACTTCCAGACATTTATTAGTATGGCAAACTACTGTTTGAGCAATGTTGACTAAAGTGTCTTGTAGGATTGCTGCACGTGCATTTTCACATGTCTTGTCTAAAGGCTGCCAATAGAAAATATACCACAGTAAACAGTGTTATCACAATTTGATAAAACTATGAAAGACAAGTTTTTCCCTTCTTGAAGTGTGTATACATTTTTTTTGCAGACTCTCTCTTCTCTCTCTCTCTCTATATATATATATATATATATATATATAGAGAGAGAGAGAGAGAGATAGATAAACCTCTGCTCTACGGGTGTATCGAGCTCTTTTGTTAGTTATTTACTCGTGTCGGGGTTTTTTCTTTGGGCTTTAAACCTGTATCTGTGCGATATATTTTGACAGACTCTCATGTTTCTAGCTCTTTTGTTTAAAACCTTTTTTTCCTTCGAGATTGATTTGATTATTGGCAAAACAAAAATTTGAAGGTTTTTCGAAATTAGTATAGTTACATATATATATATATATATATATATATATATATATGTGTGTGTGTGTGTGTGATGGATGAATTTTTATCTAAATTATGCAAAAATGAAAATAACACTGACATCTCATTTTAAGATATTTTTACTTAAATTACACTAAATATCTTGAAATAATGAAGAGTAAATTTATTCACTAAAATCCCCATTGGCTTCAACCCCAGCCTGCAACACTTCTGGAGAGTCTTCTTGTTTAAGTTGGTGAATGCTACCATAATCCTTGCCTTCAGTTCATCTTTGGTATTACAAGGAGTTTTATTGGTATCTTGCTCAACTGCATCCCACACATAATAATCAAAGGGATTGCACTCTTGGGAGTTAAGTGGCCTGATGTAAGGGGTGATTTGTTTGCAGAAATTGTCTGACAGTCATGACTGGGTTCTCCTGCTTGTATGGCATGATACAGAGTTCTGTTGCCAGACATAGGGTCTTCCAGTAGCCATCCTCTTGAGCCAGGGCAGCAGTACCTCCTCAAGGCACTTGATGTAGGCCTCTGTGTTGAGTCTGAGGCCCTCACCAACAAATTTGGGAGTTCTTTTCTTATCAGAACGATTGGAGTAAATTTTCTGAGCTGTTGTACCTTCGTAATCACCATTAGACTCATTCAACTCTTTCTGAATCCTCTGTTCTGTCTTCAGATTGACACCCAAACACTCTGAAATATTTGTATTGGAGTTTCTAGCATGAATGCCAAGCAGTACAGGATGGCATTTCCAATTTTCTGGCAGATTGAATTGTATCATGGTGCTCTTTTTCTTGTAGACAGTGCCCAATTGAACCTAATATACAAAAAATATAAAATGGCAACTATTTCCTAATTGCACCCTGTAGCTTGTGAATTTTTGTGACACATTACTGCTGTTTTAGTTATTGTCATTTTTGATTTTGTAGTTGTTCTAGAGGTGTTTTTTTTCTGCTAGTTCAAAATTTTTGTTTATTAGTTTTTGTGGGGTAGGCTCATTTTTTTTAGAGTTCTATATATTTCTTCAAGGTGGGCTTTTCTGAGGTGTTTGTTGGTCACTATAATGCAAACCCTACATGCTAGGGAACAGGGGATGGATTTCACACAGCTTTTTGGGTGATGGCTCTTGAAATGAAGATATTTTTGGGTATCTGTAGGTTTGTGGTAGATATCTGTGATTATGTGGTTGTTTCTATTTCTAATGAGTATATCTAAAAATAGTAATTCATTTATATATATATATATATATATATATATATATATATATATATATGTACACACACAGACACATGCAATAAAACTGTTTATCTTGTCCAGGAAATGGTTATATTTAAAAATAATGTTCAATACAGTTATATATATATAAATAAATAAAAAGAAAGTCTAGAGCAAGTTAAGATGTAAAATATTACAAACACTAACCTTTTCCACTACAGCAGTTTCCACAGGCAATACAATTGACCTTTTCATCACCTGACGAAAACTTCATTGGATGAAACTGTGTTAGCAGAAAAGTTTAGTGTTTGTAATATTTTAGATCTCATGTATATATATATATATATATATATATATATATATAACTAATGCTTAAATGGAAAATGTTTATGTTTGCATTTACCCATTATTACATTTTTCTTATTTATTAGTTTATTTTGGTTTCTAAAAATATTTATAATTTTTCCTCTAAGCATAGTGTGCAGTTTTTCTTGTTAATGCTGTATGAGGCTGTTCTTTTTATCATTTCCTCATTTGATTTTGGTGGGGATATTTTTTTCTTTTTGGGTCCTATGTTTTTTGATAGGGTTGTCTTGTTGGTGTATTTTTTCTGTCATAGGACATTTTGTGGTTATAATATTTTTCTTTTAGAGTCTTTTCTGTAGAACCTATACAAACATTTTCATATGTGCTAGTAGTATTAGTTAAGGTAGCTTTGTATATTATGTTATTGATTAAGCATTTGTTATTAAGTGGGCAATTTTCTTTGTTTCTACCATTACATTTGATGGTATTATTCTGCTTATGATTATTTTTATTGCAATTGTTATTCTTACTGAGTATTTTTTTTATTGTGCTTGGTTATTATTTTTTCAATGTTATCCATGTAACTGATTTTGATGGTACTTTTATTGATAATTTGCTAGTTTTAGGAAAATGTTTGTCAATCAGTTTGAAGGATATTTTGCCTATTTTTGTTTTTATTATATTGTTATAGGGAGGAGGGGGTGAATGAAATTCTATGTCATTTTCTGTTGTTTTTGTTTGTATTCTTATCTTTTTTTTATATTCTAGTTTGAATATCTGCTGTTTCTTAGGGTTGATTTTTTTTCATTGAATATTTTTAAATTGCTTGAATTTGTTGAAAGTCTTATAATTTATAGATATGGCCATTTCTTTGAATATGATGGGGGAATTTTGTTAATATATATTATACACATATAACAGAATTAAAATAGTTCATTTATCTTTTTTTAAACTGTACTCCAATTTTCATCCAATCATCAGTAGATTTTCATAATGAAATCAGCAGAAGATTGGATAAAACTTCCATGAAAGTTGGAGTACAGATTAAAAAACAATTTTGTTTTATTATTAATTAATACTGGTCTTTTTCTTGATATTGAGTTCTATATTTGTAAGGACCTGAATTTGTATTGTATTTTGAGCAAAATAAAAAAAGAAGAAATCCTTATTACTGCTGTTTTTATATATATATATGTTTGAAATTTTCTATATTTAAGGTGGAACAGCATTCACTATCAGTAATAGAGTGTTTATAGATATAGACAATATGAACATAAGTATCAACACTGCATGGTAATTGTTAGTTTTATGACTAAATGCAATCTTTAGACCAAATGCTTATATATATGTAGAAAATACTTGTATAATAGCCTCATGCACATGTAAAAAAAAAAAATATTATGGAAGCACTAATAATAAAAAAGGAAAAGCCAATACTCAATAAGATCAACTATGAACACAGCCACAATATGCTGACCATGTTTGGAATAAAAAACATTCCCATCTCTCTAGAAACAAAAAAAAATTTACACATTCAGTTAAAAAAAACAAAAAAAAAACTTCATAACGACTAAAAGTGCTTGGATATGCAGAATATTTGGACAATTTTTTTTTTTTTACACATTTTATGTCTCGAAAAGAAGATTCTTATACGAACACAAGAAAAATTGAAAAAGATTAATCACAGTACCTTATCAGATGTCTTTAATGAAACATGTAAAAAGAGTGACTACTGCCTAAATACACAATTATACATATGTAAATAGGGGAGAGAATACAAATTTGATTCCTGTTCGGAGGCACAACTTTCTAAGCACAAAAAAATAAATATAAAAATAAATTGAAAAATCACATGGCCCAGTGGATAAAAGCGTTGGTTGGATCCAGTGACTTGACCTAATGAGATGCGAGTTCTATACCTGGCTACTGCGGTGGTGAAAAAAAACTTGAAGAGTTGAGTTAAAGATAACTGAGACACCTGGGAAAAGTATGGCACATGGAACTAGAACAATCTAACCTGGTGGACAAAATAAAGAGTTTAGTTTCAGATTCCAATCACCTGAAGAAGGCTGAAGCATACAACAGCCGAAACATGGTGAATATGACAAAGATGAGGACAATGGTCTGAAAAATGTAGGTAAATTGAGGAAAAAAAAAAAAAAAAATTTGTCAAAGTGCTTTGAGCGTTACCTGGATGGCTGCCTGTGTTTTATACAGGTTCTGGGAATTGGAATTGAGGTCTTTTGTGGCTGACACGTAAACATGTTTCACTGCATCCCTCAAATGACGAGCCAGGGCTACATTTCGGTCTCCTTGGGAAAAGAAAAAAAAGAGAGATGACCACATATCCTTTTTATTTTATATGAAATTAAAATATGAGAGATTTCATACCAGAAATAACTTACAATACAAGCTCTGTATGCAGTGAGTGAACCATAAATTACCAGGGTTTGGAGAAAATTAAAGAGAGGAAAGCAAAATAAAATAGAAGGTAAACTGGTATCTTTGTCAAGTAAAATACAATAAAGGGTCACTTTTTGAGACATGTAACACACAGGCTCTCAAATAAAGTGGGCTTTCTTGGTTTAGCTTCATCAAGAAAGTAAAAGTGTATAACAGGTATTTCAGTAGATACCTATGTAATATATTTATTTTTAATATGGCATCTTTGTAAAAAAAATAAAATAAATAAATAAATGTTGGAGAGTTGCATCCAAGAATGGCCCCAGTGCCAAGGCTATTAACAGTAATAAGACCATAAAATTCTAACATTTGTAAAGCATTTCACACGTATGATGTCCAATATTCCAATTTCTTTTACTTAAACTTTTCAGTGATGGTCCAAGTTCTGGTTGTGTTATTAATCAAAGACAATTTGTGATTTCTTTAAAAATATGTAAATGACAAAAACAAATTTTTCCATGATCAATTTTTCAGTTCAGGATAAAACGATGTGACCTTCCTTTCAGCTTCCTTTTCTTTATTACCCATGAATTCCCAATTGGGAAAGACAGTGGATCGTTTTGCAGTTGCCCTCTGCAGCGTTTTGAATTCAGAATAGTCTTTCTCTTTTCAGTACATAATCATGGCCCTCCACAGCTTCATTTTCTTTTCAAGACAGTAAATTGTTTTCTGTTTGCCTTCTGAATTCAGAATAGTCTTTCTCTCCTCAGGATGTAGGCGACCATGGCCCTCCACAGCTTCCATTTTAAGACAGCAAATTGTTTTCAGGTTGCCTTCTGCAGGGTTTTCAATTCAGGATACTTTTCTATTTTCAAGACGTAGGCGATTAAGGCTCTCCACAGCTTCCTTCTCTTAAGTATTTATTAATTCCCATGATAACTTGGGTGAAGACAGTGGTTGTTTTCTAGTTGCCTTCTGCAGGGTTTTGAATTCAGCATAGTCTTTCTCTCTTCGGTGTGTAGGTAGACAATCATGCCACCCCTTACCTTTTATCTATTATCTGTAAATTACCAGGTGTTCTTGGGAACGAGAGTAGAGTGGTTTCCCATAGTTTAGAATTTAGAATGTTATTCAATTGCAAAACATGTAGACTTTTTTTTTTTAAGCCTATTTTAAGGGTACATTAATTTGATAGCTCTTTAATATACAAGGGTTAATATTAAGGGTACATTAATCTGATATCTCTATAAGGTGTTCCTTTAAAAAATTTTTTTTGTCCTTTGTCAGTTTGGTGTGAATGCTGACTGCACAATATTATTTATCATTCTGTTGCAAATTACCTGATTTTTTTTTGTTTTCTATTCTTTGAGTTAGTGCATTTTAGGGGTACCTTATTTCGGTTCCTCTGGATACAATGCACTGCTTCAGCATATACAGACATACAAAGATCAGTATTATATAGAAAAATCATACTTACGGAGTTTTGCATGTAGTAACCTGAAAAAAAAGAAAGAAAACTGATAAAAAGTTCAACTTCAAACAGTTTTGCAGGCATGAACCTGCATGGTAGGGGTAAGATAAATCTATTTGATTGACAATGCTCTGTTTCTTAATATTGAATACTTTATTTACAAAACTTTATCACCTTAAATATGTTATTCTCCAGTAAGTTATTTGTTAACAGGTTTGTTCAACATGAACAATCTTTGGTAAGTTAATTACTTTTTTTTTTTTAGTGGATACTCATTTTTGAATAGACATTTTGTTTATTTTAAACAGAGTTTATGTCATCAACATGGTTGTGCACTCAAGAAAATGTGCCCTCCGACAGAATTCGAGCCTGTGTCCCCTTTGCAGTAGAAGCCACCATTTGATTTGGTGTGCTTTGACCATTAGGCTACAGAAAGCTTCACAGAAAGGATTTATTTACCAGAATGCACATTCACTTGTTCAGATTTTCTCAAAAGTCATATCTGCTCAGTTTCCTATCTGAAATGTAAACAAAGCAATTTCTAAAAAAATAAATGATTTTATTTATTTGATTTTTATTAATAAAAATGTTGGATTAAAAAATTAAATCGATTAATTTTTTATATATCTTTAGTCTTGCTCTGTGTATGACAAAGAGCTCTACCTGGATTATATCCTCTTGGAAATATATATATATATATATATATATATATATACATGAATTATTCACACAAAACTAATGCAAAGGTGAATAATTCATGTATTTGTAAATTGATTGCACGTTTATTGTAATATATATATATATATATATATATATATATATATATATATATATATAAAAAATGACAATAGGAAAACTGTAGTAGTTGCTGACATGTTTCGTCCAATGTGAACTGAAACGCGTCAGCAACTACTAGATAGAGTTTTCCTATTGTCATTTATATTTATAAATATTGTTTTTTCTACAGGTTAATTCTGAGAAATTTTCATATATATATATTCCCAAGAGGATATAATCCAGGTAGAACTCTATATCACAGAGCAAGACTATACTATAAAAGGGTCAAACACTAATATTTCATGGTAATAATTTATTTCATTGGATTCATAATACTGACCCAATACACCAGACCTACAAATTCAATATATATATATTTATATATATAAATAAAACATTATTCTTAGTTTATACCCATATTCTGTTTATTTATTAAAACAGTATTTTTATTTATTTTTCATCTGCCGGCCTGAATGTTTGAGAAACATATGGGCTTTCCAGTATATTTTTCTCTGATAAGATTTCTCATAAATGGCAGCAGAGTGACTCACTGCTCAGATATTACATTAATTCAAGGCATAGTGCACAAATGTTGAAATTAATAAGAATTACTGATCTAACAATAAAACAGGGAAAAAAATTTCAATAAATAAATACATTGTAAATAATAGTAAGTACACAAGGTGATGTATACAAGTATATATATATATATATATCAAAAGTATACATTATTATCAACTGAAGTCTAGAAATTTCTATTTCCTGTCTCCATTTTGTCTTTGGCTTGACTCTAGATGATTATATATATATATATATATATATATATATATATAAAAGAACAGTAAGATATATAATCTGGTGTTCTTATTGATATTTTTATTTTTTACAAAAAATTTACAGAGCATAAATATTATAAATTAACTGATTTAAAATATGGTTTCTTCGCTACACAGTAATAACCATGTTTCAAAACCTGAAGCTACAAACTTCAAATTTAATTATATAATTAAATTAAAAGCATTAGTTCTGTTTTATCTTCAAGCGAATTTTGGAATAATTTATTTTTAAATTTACTGAGTTTTAAACACACATATAAATTCATAATTTCCTGTTTCCAAGGATACAGAGAAATCTAATCATTCAGACAGGGGTGGTAGCATGTTCATTTTTATTAACTATTGTTGTATCAATTATGAGTTACGTTCGAAAAAGAGGTTAAGTTTACGGAGAGTAAGGGTATATTTTTTCAATGAATTTTGACATCTGTTAAACACATCTTGTCTGGGTTGTTTTTTCTTTTTTCGTTTTTAACGGCAAAATGTTTTTGGGCATTTTTTTTTGTACTTGTATACTTTGTAAACGGGGTATTTGGGTTAGAATACATTTTATTTAACTACATTTTAAAATATTTTTACTCTTAATTACTAATAGACTATATTTCTTTTTAAATCAAGTAAATATAATAGAATTACTTAAATTATTTAAAATTATTTTTTCATATCAGATATAAGTATGTATATTACCAGCTCCCATTTTTTTTAAATTTTATTTTTAAGTATTATTTAAGGAAAATTTCATATATATATATATATTGATAATAAACAATGTACACTTTTATTGAAATTCATCAAGAAGTCATTTTCCTGACAAATTGACCATGGTGAGATTTGAACCTGGGTCTCATAGAAAGGTAACATTCTAACCACTTGGCCAGATGCCCATTATATATATATATATATATATATATATATATATTTATTTTGTGGTTGCCACATCTTACTTAGATGAGAGGTGCCTCTTCACTCTTTGCAAAACTTGTAATGACTTCAGTTTCACCATCCATGTCTGCTAAAATGACTCTTGAGACCAATATACGATTTGATGGCTATCAGGCATATATGACAAATGGACTGTATTCTTGACTGGGTCAGCATGGTCTACAACTCCCCTGTGCAGCACCATATGCCTTCTCCGTCCAGATGATGGTCTGCCAACAACACGGTTATTTTTGGCAGGATGATGAGGCAGGTTGGTGGCCTCTGGTTGTTATGATGATTTTTCAGATCATATATATATATATATATATATATATATATATATATATATATATATATATATATATATATTTTTTTTTTTTTTTTGACAAAGCATTTTCACTATTGCTATTTTATCTGGTTAGGATGCTATGAAGTTTTCAGTTCAACCAAGAAGACAAAAAAAAAAAAAAAAAAAAAAGCTTTAAATCATTTGATTGTATTTTGGGAAGCAGATGAGTTATAGAACTTTTCAGCCACCTCTTGTGCTTGTTTTATTCTATTGCTTATTGAACACTCTGGATCAATAGACACTACCACACTTCTCTAATCCAGTAATAAGATTGTAGAGAGAATAGCTAACATTGTGTTTAATAACATATAGATCCATACATTGGAAGAATTACAATGGCTGTTTTTTATTAAATAATTGTAACTTTGTCAGATTTCTTATTTTGTAAAAGTGCACATATAACTAGCGAATATACTCATGTATCATGCAACCTTTGAAGACTTAATTTTGAAGCTAATTTGACTGAAGTAAATGGATATATAGTTTGGTCAATGGCATAGCCAGAGCCAGCAGTACATACGCTAATTTTATATCTCATGTATAATGTGGCACCCTTAATATTAGCTTCAGAAGTTGCATGACATGCAAGTATATACAGTAATTTTACATAAAAGACAAATTAGGAATAAGAGACATTTGCAGGACATGGTCAATTTTTGAACAGGGAACTGATTTCATGGAATAAATTTGATAGCAAGATAGCATACTAACTATTCTAAAATTTTAACAAGTATTGTTTTTTTAAATCACAACCAAGAAAGTGTAGTAGTAGAGTAAATTTAATAAATAAAATAAAACAATAATATTTTTTAAATACTGTGAAAAGTGTCACCTCCATATTATCTCCTTAACACAAACATTAACATCAACACCAGCATTCTTAAGGACAGCTCAATCAGCCAAATTTGTTTCTGAAACCAGATACTTGGATAAGTAAAAAAGATCAAAGACCCTGTACCAAAGTAAAAGATAATCCTACTTGCACTCACCACACTCCCCAACCATAATATAAACCAGGGAAAAGAGGGCTTTGAGGCCACTTCTCTCTACCCTTTTACCAGAAAACGGGACAGCCTGATTCACTCCATTAATCACCAAGGAATTAATTAGGATGACTGCCTACTACAAAGAAGGAGTTTTGCTCTCTCTCTGTTACAATGTACTATGTGCTATGAACTCTGTTGCACAAGAAGGATACATATTTGTATTGGTATAAAAAACAAAATAAACCTTCCAAAACAACGTTCAGTGTTCATACATTTTGAATGTAAAAAAATAATATTGTATCAACCTCCAAAAAAGCATAGATTGAAACAAAGGAAAAAGCTCTCTGTAAATTTTGAACTTGTCTACTTTAGTCCTTATTTCCTACTTGTGCTGTTTAGTGGCAATGCGAGAAAAGTTAAACATGAATAATGGCTGACAATGCATCATCTAATAAAAAAATAAAGATAATATTACTCTTAACACTATCAGAAAAAAACAAAATGGAAATTAAGATGAAAGAAATTTATGATAAAAATTATAATGGCTGATATTGCTTCACCTGATAAAAATCTGTCATTATGAACAAGATTCATGACAGTCATGCAGAAGTTTAGGAATTATCTAAGAGTCAGAAAGAAACCAGCTGCACTACTATAGAATTATTGTCATCAATTAGTCTCAGGAGCAGGTGTGGTTGTAGGGTCACTGCATAAGGAAGAAGCTCTCAGCAGAACTTGCGTAACTCGCTTATTCTTTATTTTAGATCTATAATGTTTAGTGGCACTGAAAGAAAAGTTGTACCATTGTGATACTATGGACACCCACATAGAAAGGGAAGTCGTGCTTTTATCTCGATCTCAAGTGTCTCTGTTTGATAAGTCAGCAGATGGTTCCTTTTGAAGTGAGAGAAAAAAAAACTGAGGAAATTCAAATAAGACCAAAAAACAAAGTAACATTGTGAAATGAAGATACAAAATTTATATTGAACATCATTTATAATTTAGTGTATTATTAGAACCATTCTTAGATATTATAGACAACGTTTTGGACAAGAACAATCTAGCCATCTTCAGGTGTCCATTGTTTTTTGTTAATATAGGCTACCTGTTGATTATTGCCTCATTTTGTCCCTGGCATGTCAGTTCTTGCTCGTTCTTGAACCAGCATATACTCTTTCATTATCTGATCGAACATGTGCCCACTAGATGACAGTTACACATGCTTAACCAACATCTATATCCAGTTCCAATTTGGTGTTTTTTGTTTTTTTTTTCTTTCTTTGGAGCCATTAAATCCAATATCAGATGATTTTGTGACATCACAGTAGGTTTGTATTGCTTTTGATAATTTTACATTTCATTTCTTAGATAAGAGACTCTCTATAGTTTATTCAAACTATTTTTATCATTGTGCTTATTATAGATGTTATTATAGACACATTTCCACCAGGTACTCTCTGGCTATTGTTGTGTTTATAACAACTACTAAAGTCTGTCTATATTTCAGAAATGAGGTACTGTAACTCCTTTCCCCTTTGGTGTGGCCATGTATTGAACTCAGAACTCTTTGGGTTACTTAAGTCACGTTTTGGATTGCTAAACCAACACTTTTATCCACTGGGTCAGTTGTCCTTGTGGATATCAGTAAATGTTTGACACTTATAAACTATGTCTCAGTTATTTTTTTATCCGAGCTCATATTACAATTTTTGTTATTGTTTTTTTTCTAGCCTTCAGGAGTTGTTCAATACTATGCAGACATCTCTTCCAAGTTGAACCACCCATAGAGGATAACACGAGTAAGGACGGTGTGTACACCACCTCGTAAAGCTGTGGCAAGAAATATAAAGGAAAAATTGGCTGCCTCCTTAAGATAAGGCTGCAGGAACACCATAAAGCCATGACACAAGGAGAAATAGAAAAAACAGGCATAGCTGAGAATATATGGAAGGAAAAGAGAGATCACTGCCCTCTGTGGGATGAGGTTGAAATAATAGACAGAGAACATCACTGGAAGATATGAAAACTTAAGGAATCAGCACATATGCTAGGCCACAAAAATCTCCTAAGCTGGCCAAGCATAGACATGAATACAATATGGCAACCAGTAATACAGAGAGCTACAGAAAAACAACAATAACAAAAATTGTAATATGAGCTCTGGTAAAAAAAATGATGCTGAAACATTAAGTCCCAAAAATTCACTCACTGATGTCCCCAGTGGATAAATGTGTTGGTTGAGTAATCCAAAAAATGACTTGACCCAAAGAGTTGTGAGTTCATTACCTAGCTACAGCAGAGGAAACAAAAACTTGGAGAGTTGTGTTAGTAAAGGGAATTAACTGAAACGGAGATCCCCCCTCCAAAAAAATAAGGCATGGCATGTGGAACTAGAACAATCTACCCCTGTGGATTAAATAAAGTGTTCAGTTTGAAATTCTGATGTATATCACCTGAAGAAGGCCGGAGGGTACAATGGCTGAAACGTTGTGAATATGGCAATAAAGATGAGGACAACAGTCCAAACGCTGTAAATAGTGTAAATAACTAGTAAATTATTTTGTCAATTCCTCATCTTTAAAATGAAATACAACAATATCACTTAATATGTTTGTTTCTTATTACTATTATTATTGTATGAATAGACGTCTTTTTTTTTTAAGCACTGTGAATATAATGTTTAAAATAAAAACAGGGCATCTACTCAAACACGGGTATCTACAAACATTGTTTAGGGTAATAAGAAATAATGTTGAATTAAAGATAAAACCATTAATTCAAGAGGTGATATGTTTGTTGGAAACAATGTCAAGAATTTGTAAAGCAGTAATTAAAGCAGGTGGTGGTTTTATTGATGAAAACAAAATATGATGCTCTTGTATGATAATTTTTTATACTTTAGTGTTTAATTTTGTCAAAATAAAAGCCAATATACTGTAGTTAGTGAAATTTTATCTTTTATTTTTAAAAAAAAATACAAAAACACTTTAATTTTTTTTTTTTTTGAGAAATGCAGGGTGGCTCCCAAACTTTTTGCCTGTAGTGTATTTTTGTCTGAAAAATTGTGTGTGGGAAAGTTGAATTGTGAATAAAGAAGAGTTTCTAACAACTTAAAAAAAATCTTTTTAAGCTGTAATACAGTAAATGTTCCTGGGGTTTATAAAATCTATAAAATTAGAAGATCGTTAACCACTGTCAGGATGTGAAGAGCAATTATCTCCCTTTGGTTAAGACGAAATCATGAGGGTCCCATGATGTCTGCTAAGTGATGAGAGTTACTATTTAGCATGCATAGAGGTGAATGATGATTGGCTATGAAGGTGATAAACGTCATCTCAAACCTACAGCAGTAGGGACAATAGAAGAACTCACATGGAATCTTGAAGTTCACAGAACATACCACCAACCTGACCATTTTCCTTTTGGAAAATATAACAAGACCTTTACAATTCTTGCCTTTCCACTCTGCTTGTTTTATTCATATGTTATAATTTCTCTATGTGAGACAAATTTGTTACAAGTATTTATATATTTGTATATATTTGCTTGTATGACACAGTGGTATATAAAATCTCTTTGAGAATAATGCATGTTTGACATTCCTTCCTTTCAGCTATTCTTTTCTGTCCGTGCATTAAGGCGTTACTATACATGGATATGTTAATGCCTATAATGGGGGAAATGCAAACTGGAAATATTTTTATTGACTAGCAAACCTATTACCACTATTCAGGCGCACAAAAGTTTCTGCCTTTGTGTGTGAATGTTGAAATACCAGTTCTCATACAATCATTGAAGTTAAGCAATGTTGAGCCTGGCATAGTGAAAGATAAAATCAACCACCTTGAAAAAGAGTTTGTGTTTTGTGTGTTGTGTCAGTATCCCTTAGTCGGACTTTGTACCAATAAATCATGTTGGCTAGTGCAGTTGAGGGTGATCATTATCTTTAAGGGTGGCGTTGTGTCAATATACTGCCCCTATTATGGAACACTGCTTCCTGGCCCTCCCTGTAAGACTGTCTCTTGAGATAAATGGAACTGTTGTGGAAGACACATGTTTGTTGTGTTCGGAGAAGGAGCCATTGGAAGTCTATCTCCAATTTCGCTGCGTGTATGTCCCATCAGGAAATGGCATAATCAAGCAATGCCATTGCAGTGTCAAGAGAATTGCTGCTAGAAAGCAGTGTTCCATAATGGAAGCAGTATATTGGCAAAATGTCACACCTAAAGATAATGTGTCACCCTCAACTGCACCAGCCAACATAATTTACCGGTACAAACTTCAGCGAAGTGGTATTGACATGGTGCACAAAACATAAACTCTTTTTCGAGGTAGGTGATTTTCTCTTTTGCTACACCTGGTCAGTAATTAGACGAATGACTGCTTGGGAATACCAGGTGCTATAATGCTAGACGTGCGACTGGTGTAATGGATAATGGCTCGGAACTGACAATATGAGAGCCGAGTTCCAATTCCAGTTAGGTTTGCTATAATCACTTATGTACAAATACCATTGGGAAAGATATGAATCCACTTCTTCAGCCCAACCCCAGCTATGGATAAATTAGTAGGTCTTGTATCAGGACATCATTATTATTATCTTATTAAAAAAACAAAAAAACAAAAAAAAACTTACAATCTAAAAATATTTTTGCTTTAAATAACCTGCAAAAGGTTGATAAGCTGTAAAAAACTAATCACTGAAGCAAGACGATCACTTAATAGACAAAGGTATCTGAGTGCTTCACATGAAATGCTTGAACAAATAAGACTGCATTATAAGAAATGTAGGAAGTAAAGGAACTGATTAATTAAACAGTTTAATTTTTTGCTCGGTAATTTTGTCTCAATGCAGATAAATATTTATTTGTATTAAAAGAATGAAGGGAAGTAATCATTCATACATTTACGAACTTAAGTTGATTACCTCCCTTCCCAATATTGATGGAACAGGAAATATATAAATAAATCATCGGTCTTATGACTACTTCAATCCTCAGTGGGGAGTGGGCAGAAGAAAGAAACTTTTGATTCTTCTACCTCATGATTCTTTCAGTGGGCTTTCAGATAGCTTGTCAGCAACTATCTCCTCCCCAAGCTCTTGACTGACAGACCATGAAATATGGCGTGGGTCACCCTCAATATATACACTAGGCATTCAGGTTTTGAATTCAGAGTTGTCCTCCTAGATCAGTTGCTATCCAAGGCTATAGGACCTGGTCTATCCTGTTATTTATCCATACCTGGGGGGTGGGGAATCAAGCATGTAAGTGAATGTAATGAACTTTACTGAAAGTTGAACCGAGGTGGCACGGAGGAATAATGGTTAGGGGCTTGGATTGAGGAATCAGAGAGCCAACAAATAAATACACACTGATAATTATTATATGGTTTGATGATTTATGGAATTCTATTAGTGAGAAAAAAAAAACCTGGATCAAATACGGTCATTGAAAAATGGGACAAAGCGTCTATGTGCAAACAATGCAAAGTGGAAAAGAATTACTTACGTGTCATATTTGGGTTGTTGGGCTGCGTCTTGGTACCTCTGGCGTGACAGAGGGGAACTCATGAGAGAACTATTGAGGCTTGGGTCATCCCCGAAGATACCTTTATCCACTGGAAAGAAGAGAAAACCTTCTACACTTGCTGTGTAACTTTGTTATACGTTCAAATATGTGTCATTTTCAAAATCTATTTTTAGATTAAACAAATTTTAGGAGGAGAAAAAAAAAATATATCTCTATATGCCAAAAATAAAAATTTGTTAAACCCCCCAATTTTTTTTTTAGAATTTACAGAAACCGAGTGCTGAAGTGTTATGTAACATCAAATCCTTTATGTAACATCAATCCTTTATGTAACATCAAAATCCTTTATGGTAGTGAATGCTGGACAATCTACTCAGAGATGAAGAGAAAAATTGAGACAACAGTGATACATTTTATTTTTTTTTTATGATGATGTCCACTCTGTACAAGAAGGCCCAAGAGCCACTCAAGGTAGAGGGTTACAGAGTAAGAAGTACAGTCTATGGGGATTCCTCTATGGTACCTAGACTTAATGAATCTAAGTGCAGTACAAGATCTCATCATTTTACATTTTATTAGATGTAACTGTAAATTCTATTCTAACGGTTTATTTTCTCACCTGTGGAAATCTCTTCCAGCTTCTTGCTTTCCAGCTAAATTTGATCTTTAAAAAATTTAAATGCAATGCCAATTGTTATCTTCTGTCTTCTTAATTCTTTTTCTATTATTGTTCACTTTCCTTAATTATGTTTTTCTTTCACATTAACTGCATCTTTCTTTCACCCCCACTGCATCTTAGTGGCTTTATTGCCTTGATTGGGGTGAAATAAAAAAAAAAGTACGGGAGTGGATAATGGTTAACCCTAGATTTGAACAGGTTAAGATTGTATTGATTAGGAAAGCATGCTCTTGGGAGTTGGTTCTACAAAGTAGCGGTTCAAGTAAAGAAGCTTCACAAATGGAACTTTCAACTCAAAAATGGAATACAAACGGAATTAGGGTGGTTCGCTATAATGTGTATGGCATGGCAGCTCTTAGACGTGAATGATAGAACTGGTGGAACAAATGAATGTAGTTCGTTGAAACACTTTCTAAGAAAATAAACATAGAGCAGCAAGAAGCTTGCAACATTTCATCTGTGGGAAAGTGATTCTAGGCTGGAAAATAATCACCCACAAGGATGCAGAATCACTTTTCGACTCTACTGAGGCTGAAAAGTGAAGATTGGATATGTTGCAGTAGTACTCAATTTTTGGCCTGATTTGGCTCTTCTAAGATAGCAGGGGGAATCAAGTACTTACTGGAGCTGTATAAGGGACTGACCATTTTTCCAGTATCTTTAGTGAGAGATCATATGTACAAGTTCCACTTGATGTCTGTGCTGAGCTTAACCCCTTACCCGGTGTAGACATATATATATAAGTATTTACTAAAGATGCCTTCTTCAGACAGGGACAAATAAACATATCTAAAACTGTAATGAAAGAGATAATCATTTACTCCGAAAAAAAGTTTGTGTTCTGTATGTGATCTGCCAAAGAAAAATTACAAAAAGTAGTTAGCAAAAATCTACTTCAATGACTAGAATCTATGCTAATGTTCTCCCCTCCCCTGAATGATGAACCAAAGCCGTTATTTTTCGCTTATAAAGGCAGAAGATTTTCTGAGCTGGTGGGCTGAAGATGCATTTTTGCTTGTGAGAAGTGAATGTTGGATGTGTGACCCCATTTTGTTGTTTCTACTTTGCTTGTTGGACTGTTACCTAAGCTTACGATAATAGTGAGTTGATCTAGTTGACCATTATTATTAAGTGAGAGGAATTTTTAGTGGGTGCTCCATATTTGTGCCCTTGTACCAAACTAAGCTTAGTAAACAACAAAGATGCCTCGGAATGGAGTTATAGGTAATGGTTTGTGAGCTTGTCTTGTTGACCTTTACTAGTGAGTGGTGAGCCTGAGCCTTGGTTAGTGCTCAATAATAGTGACCTTGTGCCAGAACTAAGCCAACTTGGTTCACTGTTGTGCTAGAAATTTTTTCTTGCCAGAATCTAACTTACACATTTATAAATCTACCATCTGTCTAATGCACTGAATATTACTGTCACATCTTGTCTGGTGCTTGTGTGTATAGATTCTTGAAATCCCCACAAAAATCTGCAAAGTTATTGATCTTAACATAGCTTAAGTCACAATGTAGCTTGAAAGAAAAAAGAAAAGATTGACTGTGTAGTGTGACCCCCTATTTTTTATGTAAAAAAAAACGAGCATGAAAACATGCACATGGAGAATTTATTAGACAAATATATCAAAACTTTCACTCATTCTAATGATTACATTTATACAGAGGATTTATTAAACAAATAAGCCCAAATTTACATATATCAAAGAGAAGATTTTTAGCGAATTTTACAATTAAATGATTCTTTGAGAAAATGTCAATATTTATTTGCACATTACAAATGAGGAGAGAAAGGGATTATCAAGGTCAGGAATTAAATAAGTCTTATTGGCAGAAGCAGTCTTTAAACATATAAGTAAAAGCTTAATGACCAGCCAGATTTACATACATTTTTTTTTTTACAGCTTTAGGAAAAGATTTAAAAAAAGAAATGGAAAAGAAAGAAACTTTATAACTCACCTTTTAGGGGTGGTAAAGAAGTATTCACATCAGTAGTGTTGATTTCTTCATCTGACTCTGAGGCTTCCCCAGCCACCACTATTCCCTTAAACATTGGCGTCTTCAATTCCTGAAAGATGTTTTGATGCAAAAAAAAAATAAATAAATAAAGCAGTTATTAAAAGGAATTGTTTACAAGAGTGGATCAATAAATCTGCAGCCTGCCACATTTCTTGGACAAATTCTGATCCAAGCTTTTCACTCTATAAATATCTTATCACTGTGACTTATGAAGAAACAATGAGTTAAGGAACATAAAGTTTGAAAATAAACTTAGTGTGTAAAATAATTATTTTTTTTGTTTATGAAGCTACAAACTTATTGATGCACTTAGATACCTATACAATAAGAATCCGATTTCTTTATGGTTGTACGATACTTACTGTAATACATTAAAAACAGTCCGTCATAACACAAGGTTTAGATCATTTTAACATTGCACTAACTTGGAGAATAAATTAATTTCCTCTTCAAATTGGGTTACTGGTTTGTGAGTAATTTTTATTCAAATATAAATTTACAAAGAAAAAATAATATGCCTAAGGGAGATAATTCCATGACTATTAACTGCTAATTAAAAGTTATTTCCTTGAGTTTACTGAGTAAGAAAATATGAGAAATTGTGTGTACAGCAAAACAGAATACATGTCAAAATATTCATTCTTAAAAAGAAAGAATGAAATAATCATGAAAGCTAATTAAAACTATTTTTAAAATTTGTGAATGATAAATAAAAAAAAATGCTACTTTTTTCTCGTTTTGAACAAAGTCCCTCCACTAATTCACTGAAAAAAAAAATGCTACTTTTTTCTCGTTTTGAACAAAGTCCCTCCACTAATTCACTGAAAAAAAAATGCCCCAAACTTGATAAAAGTTTTATTGTCAAAATCTTTATGTTATTATTAAACCTTTGAGTCTTGCGTTCCTGAACAATTTTAACCCTTCTATCCAAGCTCCTGAGTCAAAATTCGCAAATAATTGGTATGTAATGTTTCTATATAAAAATAGTTACAAGTGTTTACCCACTGTTCAACTGGTAACTGGGCATTAAGTCATTTTTCTCTACCAATGGTAAAGTGGTGGTCAGGACTCCAAGAGTTAAGAGGAAAGACCAAAGTATTTTTTTTTTTTAAATGATTTCACCCAAAGCAAGGCAGTAAAGCCACTAAGACACAAGGGGTTACTGGGTGTGGAAGAACCAGAAATCAGAACATTATTAAGGAGTGAGAACAAAAGAAGAGTAATCAGGAGGACAGAAAAAGGTGATTGACATTTCATTTAACTTTTTGTAGATTAAAGTTGACTGGAAAGCATGAGCCGGAAAGGAGTTCTACAAGTGAGAAAAGAAAGTGTTAGCATAGAATTTACAGTTACATCTAGCCAACTCAACTGTAAATTGATGAGACCCAGTCACCAAACTAGTACTACACTAAAATTCAAAGAGTCTAGGCACAAGTGAAGGACTCATCCAAATAACTACCATAAAATTATTTATAGGAAAGGCACAGAGAGGCAACCTTACCACAGTTGGATAGAAACTGAAGCTGAGATGCCAGAACAAGGCCAATAATAATAAATAAGCCAGGAAAGATCTTACTTAATGCCGACAAGATTTTAGGATATGTCGGTATGAATAGTATTCTTTATAAGAAATCAGTTTGTAGGTCGGGTTTCATTGACATATTTTTGCAAAGAGAGTTTTTGTCAAGAGTTACACATATTGCTGGTGATATTTTTTTTCCAAAATGTATTGCTGGTAATATTTTTTGTTTCTTTTCCCAAAATATGTTACTGTTACTTTTACTATAAAAATCCACTTCTACACTTTCATAGTGTTTTGAACCCAGCTTGTGGGTTAACTCCTTGCCCATAGCTGGGACCCTAACAGGTGCTACCACTCCGGGTCAGGGTGGATCTGGGAACAAAAGTAATTAAGAGATGGTTCCATGCTCCTTAAAACCTCCTGATCAGAGGCCTTGCTGCTGGATGTAGTTTATCGTCATGCCCAGGACACCCAACAAGTAGTAAGCAACATTAAGAAAAGTCAGTATTTAAGCAAGTCAGGTATAAAAGGTTGACTGTTTTTTTCTTTGTGTACTTGCTTATTAATTTAATGCCAAAGCAATTTTTTCCCACACTTCAAGCAATTATAGCTTTAAGTCACTTTTTAGAAATAATTTGCATACAGCCATATGGTTTCCAGTATTCCTATCTAATACTAGTAATTTTCAAATAAAATTTGGTCAGATTCTCATACTGTACCAGTAAGTACCCGGGTCTTCATGCTACCCTCTACCTTTACAAGATCAGGCCGTGAATGGAGTATTGTTGCCATATTTGTGTGGGATCTGCCCAGTCTTGACAGAGTCCAAAAGTGTCACAGGTCTCGAGAGCAACTCTCTGTGTCTGCTCGGTCTCACGTTGACTGCTGACCTGAGATGGAGCAAATACATTGAGTCAATTGCTTCGTCCACCGCAAGGAAAGTTGGCTCCCTGTGCCACGCCAGGAAATTTTTCTCCCTGGAATCGATCCTCCAGATCTACAAATCAACAATTCGCCCTTGCATGGAGTATTGCTGCCATATATGGTCTGGAGCCCCTTCTGTTTGCCTCGGGGTTCTTGATAAGATCCAGAGGCGGATATGCAATATAACTGGCCCTGTTATGGCATCTCGTCTACAGTCGCTCTCTCACAGATGCGTCGTCGCCTCTCTCTGTCTTTTTTACAAATACTTTCATGGTAATTGCTCCAAGGAGCTGCATCCGCTGGTTCCCAGACTTCATGAATTCAAGTGCCCTATGAGGCTGGCATCCTGCTCTCACCCTTTCACTGTCGAAACTATTAAGTGTAGCCGTATCTTCTACTCCAATAGTTTCATATCTTGCACCTCTTGCCTGTGGAACTCCCTTCCCTTTTCCAGTTTCCCTGAGAGCTATAATCTTCAACTATTCAAATGTAATGTCAATCGACATCTCCAGTTGCCTTGATCTATCCACTACCATTCTCCCATCCTTTCTTCTATCACTCCTATCTGATCTCGCTCCAAATTTTCTGTAACCCCTTGCGTCCTAGTGGCTTCTCATCTTGCTTGGGGTGAAACACTTAAAAGAGAAAAACAAAAGGATGCCTCTCATTATTGCTACTTCCATGTGCTCGGACAAACTACATTCCTTGGTTCTGCCAGGCTTAACCTTCATGGCTAGGACCTGCCATTTCACTTATACTATAGCAAACTATCTCAGATTGTTTTTTGTTTTTTTATAATTGTTTATTTTAAGTACAAATTTTTTCTTTTTTTTTTAACAATCCCTGTAAATAATATGGACTGCTCCACTATTACAATAATTTGGTGTGTGTGTATATATATAAAACGCGTATATAAAACGCGACATAAGAAGTCTCATGTTTCAAAACAAGAGCCGAAAACTTCAATATAATTATTAAATTGAGTTAAAAAAGCTCTGTTCCATCTTCAAGCGAAATTTTAATCCATAGCCCAATCATCAGATTCATGGTTTGAATAATTAACTAAAAACATATATAACACCCTTCATAATCCATATCCCAAATAAATAGTTTAAATACCCTACAAAAAAGATAGCCCTTTATGAAGTTGTCAAAAAACAAACGTTACGACAGTTTTTTTATATGCACAAATCCCTTTCATAAAAGAATAAAATAAAAAAATAAATAAATCTCCATAGACATGCAAACTAGACGAGGGTTAATACATCTTCCGTTTCAAATTTAGACACCCCTACCTTTCCCTGACTTGACATCTATGAAAGTAACTCTATACTGATACTTATTAACACCCAACACTCGCCTACCCAATTTAAACAATTCGCCCTAGCTGTTACCATGGAAATTTTGATTTCAATTTTTAAAACACGTAAATTTCAGATATTTGTTATTCCAAAAAAAAATTTCGCAAAAAAATTTCGCTTGAAGATGGAACAGAACTTTTTTAACTCAATTTAATTTAATAATTATATTGAAGTTTTCGGCTCTTGTTTCGAAACATGAGACCTCTTGTGTCGCGAGTTGGAATCATATTTTTAAATAAATAATTATATTTATGCTCTACTTTTGAATTGAGCACTATTTTAAAAAAATAATAACTAAAATACTAAGGAACTTTGGATTATTTACCTAACTAGTTCCTTCCTATTTTCTTCCATATATTTTCACATATTATATATATATATATATATATATATATATATATATCAACATTTAAGTTATGTAATGGTGATTCTTAACTCAGCTCCTGAAGATTACATTGTGTATGAAACTCAGTCATGCTACCAGCAAGGAAAAAGAAAAAGTATATTTATGATATATATATTTGTTTATATATCATTTGATGAAGATTTTGTTTTCAAATTGTATCAATTTATTAATATATATTGATATATTTTTGATAAAAATCGCCTGAGGATGCTGTAAGGTCGAATCCAAGGTAGTGGATTCAACTGACTTCCTGAACATTGAAGTCAACACTCAGAGGTGACAGGCTGTTTCATACTAGATGCACTGATGATTGTGTCTAGCATGAAACAGCCTGTTGCCTTTGAGTGTTGACTTCAATGTTCACTTTTATATTTACATACGCTCTATCTCTAATATTGAGCACTTTTATCCCATAAATATAGCACACCTTAAAACTATATTTCTTTATATATATATATGTGTGTGTGTATGTGTATGTATGTAAAATAGAATGTTATATATATTACACACACTCAAGTCCCGTAGACTCCTTAAGAAGTATGTAGGCCACTGTTGTTAGCACACTAGGCACTGCTGCTGTGTTTTCCATAGCAATTAGCCAGTTTTCATGTGTCGCTAGGCCATGCTCAACCAATTTTGAAACCAGGGATATCTTTTTTCTAGACTGGGTTATTGACCATGCCTAAAGAGCCCAGTCTGTCCTATTATTTAACCCATAGCTAGGGATAAGAGATGGATTCAGACTTTCCCCAAAGGTATTTGTGTATAAGTGAATGCAATGAATTTGACTGGAATTCAAACTCGGCTGTCTGGTTTTTCATTCAACCTGCGATCACATTAGACCAAATGTACATCCCCATATATATATATATATATATATATATATATATATAAAATAAAAAAAGGCTTAAACATTAATATTCCATGGAATATTAGTGTTTAAGCCTTTTTTTATTATATCCTTACTCTGTCCTGGACATTGAGTTCTACCTGGATTCTATCCTCTCGGAATTTTTTATTCAAAAAATATACATATATGTGTATGCACCTATGTATATATATCTATATATTTTGCATGTGTATGTGTATATTTACCACTAATATTATCTATATATATATATATATATAGATAGATAGAGAGATAGATAGAGAGTATGGTGGAGTTACATATAGTTTTAGATATATCCATGAAATAAACCCTATAAAAAACAAGAATATATACCAATATATAGCAAGAAATACCTCCCAGATAATAAGACATTGGTTGGTTCATCTTGTTAATGACTTACCATTATGTGAGAGGTATTTCTACAGCATCCTATATATATATATATATATATATAAAAGTAAAAATACATAAAAGGTTAATGGTCAGAGTTGAATCACCAGGAAACAGTAGTATTAAAAAGTGCTCAATACATGTGTGAAAAAATAAAAGTAAAAATAACATGTAGAGCTTTTAACTTTAAAAATCATGAGGTCCTCAGGCGATTTTAATCAAATGACTTCTCAATGCTTTATCTTTTTAGAAAAAAAACTAATGAAGCCTATATTATTATTTTCAAAAATAAATATACAAACACACAACGCTGGGTGTAATAGAAAAGGAGAAGAAGTATGTGAAAAAGGAAGAAGAAGAAAGGGGAAGAGAAGGAAAGCAAGGGTATTGTAAATGTATTGGTTAGGGGTTAATTGAAATGTATATTACTTTTTCATTTTTTTGTATATCCAGTTTTATATATGCTTAAAAGGAATTTTCTAATATGTAAGCAAGGACTTAAGACTACGGATTTCTGGTTTAAAAGGTTCTTTGGATCCAGAAATGTTAACTGAAATAAGAGAGGCTTTTTTTTTTTTACTGTCAGTTCACACAATACAAGGCACATAGGTCACTCAAGGTAGTGGGTGTAATGAGTTGGTCGGTCAACTTGACACCCCCCAAATCGAGTGGAGGTGGGCAGGCGCGGGAACTGTGATTGGTAGCTGGCTTGTTGGTGTTTTGCATAGGTGAGTTACCAAGCACTATGTAAAGGGCTGGAATGAGAAGGAGAGCAGTTTTTTTCAGTCTCAGAAGTGGAGACTGTGTCCGTCGCTGCGACAGCAGAAGAAAAAGAGACAAAATCATTTTTTTTCGTGACACATTCCAACACAAGCTATTTCGGCGTTTACTTTGTCTCCAGCAAGATGGCGGAAAGACCGTTCGACATAAAACTGATCTCTGAATTCAGTGGTGATATGAATGGACAGTCTGTGGTTGACTGGATCAAAAAGGTGGAACTGGTCTGTGAATTATGCGAGATCACGAAGATTGAACGGATTCTTCCACTGCGCTTGAAAGGCGGCGCTCTTGCTGTGTATAGGACAGTAGTGCAGAGGTGCGAGGCATGCCGGTCAATTGACCCGGCACTGGTGCAATGGCAAAAAGGAAACTTGAGTACTACCCATGTTTGGAACAGGCTGGGGATAGATGTTACGCATGTTGGCAGCCAGCACTATTTGACTATTATTGACTGTAGACCCTCTCGCTTTGCCATTTGGCGACTACTGCAACGGCAGGACACTGCCAGCATAATACATCAATTGGAGTCCATCTTTTACGACCGGGGGCCACCTGCAGAAATACTGACAGATAATGGTGCGGCGTTTTCTTCAGAGCAATTCTCGCAGTTGTTAAAGAAGTGGGGTGTGCGGCTTCGGTTCCGGTGCGCCTACATGCCGGCGGGAAACGGCATAGTAAAAGGAGCCACCGGTCTATAAAAGTGATTGCAGCCAGGAAGCGATGTTCGATCCCCAAGCAGTCTATTGGTATAATCGACGCCTAAAGACGGTGTTTTGTCTACAACAGCACCGCTAACATGGTGCACGCCTATCACTTACGGGTTGCGAGGCATTGACATCGCAATGGCTCCGGCGCCGTGCAAGCTAAATACAGAATTGGTGACGTGGTGTGGTTAAGACCCTGCACAGCAAGTGTATGGACAAGCTTAGAATGGAGCATGTTACTGAGATTATTAGCCCGCAGTCAGTGCGGGTTGATGGCGTGCCTTGTCATGTTAAAGACTTGTGGCCAGTTGTAGGGTTAAAACCGTCATCAGATGATGAAAGTGACTCTGAAGATGGTGCGCGAGTGGTGTATTTAAAGTCGGATACACTGAGTTCTACCTCAAGCATCAGTACTCTACCTACGGACGTCAACGTGGCCAGCTGTCCAGAGGCGGATGGTAGCTCAACGGATGAGAGTTCATCCGAGGATGAGGACCCTGTCGTCCCACTCAGAAGAAGTGCCCAGCAGAAGAGGCCTGCTCCGAGTTGCACAGTGTGCGATCATGACGGCGAGACACGGGATGAATCGGGACATCTGCCACCTCGGAGCAAATAAGATCGCGCATGTGTGGTTATCCCAATATGTCAAGTGATATATGCGGATGCAGTCACTAGACAGACGCAACCATCTCTCGAACTGAGAAGCTTTGTGATCTTAAGATCAGGGGGGCGTGTAATGAGTTGGTCGGTCAACTTGACACCCCCCCAAAGTGAGTGGAGGTGGGCAGGCGCAGGAACTGTGATTGGTAGCTGGCTTGTTGGAGTTTTGCATAGGTGAGTTACCAAGCTCTATGTGAAAGGCTGGAATGAGAAGGAGGGGAGTTTTCAGTCTCAGAAGTGGAGACTGCGTCCGTCGCTACAACAGCAGGAGAGAAAGAGACAAAATCATTTTTTTTCGTGATACATTCCAACACAGTGGGTTACTGAGTGAGATTGTTGTGAGAGAGGGAGAAGGGAGAGACTACTACGAGGACGAATAGGATAGATATTGGTTGTGCCTGGATTTAAAAAGAGCAAGATTGTAGTTGTCAGGGAAGCATTCTCTCGGGAGTTTGTTCATCAAAGCAACAGTTCTTGGAGGAAGAAGCTAGAACATACTCCGTAACAAAGGAACATGGAGGGCATAGTTTACCATCATGAACATGGCTGTGTAGGTCTGAACTGTTGAAACTAAGGACTGTAACTCATCCGGACATATGCCATAATAATATCAATATAGATAGAGTAATTGTGACAGGTTAGCAAGGTTTTGTTTGTGGGATAAAGGTCATAGGGTGGGAGATAATTTAAAGTGTGAGTTAAATATAAAACTGGACTTTGACTGTGCTACTGTTATTAAACAAAGAAAAGAAAAAAAGGTTTCTTATATCTATATAATAAATGTAAATGTCTGAGTCACTGTGTCACACTTTTTCAACTTTACTCCTAGAGGCTGTAGCCCAACATATCATACGATTTTGGAAATTCGAGCAAATTAAAATCATTCTGGGTCGGATCTGGACCCACAATCCTGAAATTTTAGATTCTCAAATGTTCATTACTATGATTGTTTGTGGTAATTTTTTTTACGTGATTCTTTGTACAATGACAATTTTTATAACTTAGGAATAAATTTGGGAATAACTGAAATTACAAAATCCAGTGAAAGTCACACATGAAATAACAATAATTGTTTGTACAGAAAGTAAGGACCTACGTGCATCAAATTGTCTTTAAATTAAGTGGCAGCAGAAGAATTATTGTTGAACTTTTAAAAGGTAAGCTTAAATATTAATGCAATACTTAAATGCAGCAATCCATTTTGAGTTCTTCTGTAGTTTATTGTTGCCTATCACATCTACTCCTCCCTCCCTATTGTGTTGATGAAGGCCTAATCAAGAGCCCTCCACAGGGCTAGCTTAAATTTGGGCCGGGTTAACGTACAGTAATAATCATTTAAACATTGCATTTTAAAAGTAAGTTGAAAAACCTAGTTAAAAAAAAAACAACTGGCTTTTTAAATTAGTTTTAAATAAATATGCATTTTAGCGCTCCACCCACCTTTTTTTTTTTTTAAATTTTTAGTGTTTTTATTATGTATCTTTTTCTAATCGGATGTTGTCTTTTTTCGCAGCCATTGAAAACGGACACAACTCAATTTCGGTTGCCATAAAATCAAGGCTCAATTTAGCACTTTAGGTAGCACTTCGTGAATTGAACCCAGACCACTCGATCCTAAAGCTTATATTTCTTAAAATTTCCCAAAGAAATGAATGTCATCTTGAAACAGAGCAAAATAATATAAACTAAGAAAAAGTCCTTTTCATACAAAAAGCCCAAATCGTAAACATTCATTTTTTTTTTACTTAAACACTTTGGATATCTAAGTCGTGGAGAAGACGATTTAAAAAAGAAAAGGGCATTTTAAATTAAAAATAACGATAAGGTTATTTAATCAATTTTTAAATTATCGTAAATTTACTACGGTAAAAAAAAAAACAAAAACGAAAACACTCAGTAACTTTAAAAACAAATAAAGACATCTGAACTGTTATTATTTTGTTTTTAATGTTGATTTAATTAAAACGACTATTTAATTTTTCTAAGCTTTTAAAATATAAAAAGTTTACAAAAAAAAAAGATGTTCATTTTCAGAAAACAAGCCTTTTTTTTTTGCTTAAAATAAAAACGGTCTTCCAACACCAAAATGAGTTTATCTTTCTATCAGTTACCTGATAACTTGGGATAGGAATTCGGGCATCATTAGCTCTTAAAGGACTCGGGTCTAAATCATCGTCATCATCGGATTCAGATGCTTCTCCCTGAATAACAGTTCGATGTTTTTTCCCGTGACCCAAGTCCATCTTGTGATGTTTCACTTTTTTGTTTTGCAATGTCTGCCTAAACAATCAGCCGCTCACGAACTAAACAAAGCACTTTTAAGTGCCTTCGAATAAACACAATTAAAATTCAGTTTATTATTTAATGAACAGATTAAAAAAAAGGAAAACGTTTTTAAACAGCATACAAACAAATTCACGTCTGAATTATTAAATAATTTTTTGTTAAAATAAAAGAAAAAGGGTAAAGTATTTAAGGGAGATAACTCAATATTTGCTTTCAGAGTGATTTCCCTTATGTCTTAATTTTCGTCTAAACTTTTTTCGAGACGATTAAAAAATTACATTTTAATTTAATATTTTAGCTTTTAATTGACTTAAATTTTATACTATTATTCACGCAATACAAGACCTAAGTGACACTCAAGGTAGAGGATGACTGAATAAGAATGTTGTAAGGAAGGGAGTAAAAGTTACATATTTTGCGGGTTGAATAGAGACAATTTGACATGGTGTAAATGGGCCAATGCAATGGTCAGCAAGCTTGTCTCACTCAATTAATCTTGGATTCTCACTGTAATGATTACAGTTTAATCCCTTGTACCACAGCTAAGCCAGGCTTAGTAAATGTTTATATTTCCCTTGAATCTTGAATCTTCTATGAAGGAAAGTTTAAAATAATATTAAGAAGCCCAAGCCACAGGGACGATCGCACCAGGCAGCACCTCTCCCTCGGGTTGGGGTTGGGGTTGGGGTCATTACCCGGCACCTGAATCGTACCCAATAGGTGAAGTGTCAAGGGGGCTGTGGGATATTTGTTCTGGCTTTCTCACGTGAAAGGCTTACGATTAAAGGTAAAAGAATCGATTAAAGCAACAAGTTTAAAGTGAAAGTTTTCTCTTTTAGATTAAAGAATAAAGACGCAAAAACTCCTACTGGGAGTGTAACAATAGAAGAAGAATATGTTTATTTACATACACAAAAAAAAGTAAAGGGATATAACAAAATGTGTGAGAAAGAAAGGGAGAAGAAAATTCCTTTAAAGAAAGAAAAAGTGTTCATGTAAAGGCTTGCTCAAAAATATTTCTCTGAGAGCCTAAAAAGATCTTTAAGAAAGTAGATTGTTCTTAAGGGGTTAACTAACACTCACTTAATATTTCTTCAGAGCCCTTGTTAAGGGAGAAACAATCGGAAGATCTGTAGTTTGTAATTGAATGAGTTCGTAATAGTGGTTGACGACAGGAATTTCAAGGTCCGAGGAAGCTGATAATTAGATTTTAGTAGAGTGTCGATGATCTGTCTTTATATCCAAGCATGTAGACTTCTTCCTTGAAACAGGTGTCATATGTATCAAAACGAGGCTTCAACTACCGCTATTAGGGTTGTCGCACTCACCCTTACCATAGCTGCTGCTAATCTGAAGCAATCTTCAGTTGATAATAAAAGCTTCAACGCTACACACGTGTGTTCTGGTCTTATTAACATTCTTCATTTCAGCACAAGACTTTCGGACTTCCGAACATACTTAAATAGATTCCGAAGATGACTAGTGTTATTGTCACTGACCTGATTTTATCACAGACGATGTCAAATACTGACTGCCAAAGAAGCTTATATTCTTGGTATTTATCGAAATTAGAAAGCTCAGAAATATCAGCAACGTTTCCCTCCAAAATTGCTTATACACTTTTCTTACCTCTGATAAGAATCAAAGATTTGGAAGCTGGTTTGAAAGCAAGGATCCAACAAACTGTGATCATTACCCCTCGAATTTGTGGCAACATGGTCAAGGTATAGGTGGTCAAATTACGTTTTTGATTTTTCAGTTCTCTCGTTCGTCAGAAAATTGATTCTTACCTCTGGTTAGCATCAAGAATTTGGGAGCAGAGGTATATGTCGGAGCAAAGACCAGAAAAGAGGCTAGAACATGAACTTGAAAACATTGTAGTTGTGGTTCTCAAATTACAGTCTGATAGGGCTTGAGCAATATTGTCATGGTATTGTCATTAAACCCGATCTAATCTGACCGTATGACACAATAAATACACTATTTTTGGTCCGATCTGACTCTTGTAAAGTTAGAGAACTGCCTAAGGAGTCTGGTACTTATTAATGAGATACAAGCAAGAAAGTGAGCCCAGATATGGCAGCAATACACAATTTTTGGTCTGATCTGTCTCTTGTAAAGATAGAGCAGGGCATAAGGAGTCAGGTACTTTTTAAGTGATACAAGCTGGAAAGTGAGGATTGGGCAGCTCAGCCAGATATAGCAGCAATACACCATTTTTGGTCTGATCTGACTCTTGTAAAGATAGAGCAGGCCATAAGGTATCTGGTACTTTTTAAAGTGATACAAGCTGGAAAGTGAGGATTGGGCAGCTCCAGCCCAGATATGGCAGCAATACACCATTTTAGGTCTGATCTGACTCTTGTAAAAGCTAGAAGAATATACCATTTTTGCCTAAGGTATCTGGTACTTTTTAAAGTGATACAAGCTGGAAAGTGAGGATTGGGCAGCTCCAGCCCAGATGTGGCAGCAATACACCATTTTTGGTCTGATCTGACTCTTGTAAAAGATAGAGCAGGGCATAAGGTGTCAGGTTTTAAAGTGATACAAGCTGGAAAGTGAGGATTGGGCAGCTCCAGCCCAGATATGGCAGCAATACACCATTTTTGGTCTGATCTGACTCTTGTAAAGATAGAGCAGGGCATAAGGTATCTAGTACTTTTTAAAAGTGATACAAGCTGGAAAGTGAGGATTGTGCAGCTCAGCCCAGATATAGCAGCAATACACCATTTTTGGTCTGATCTGACTCTTGTAAAGATAGAGCAGGGCATAAGGTATCAGGTACTTTTTAAAGTGATACAAGCTGGAAAGTGAGGATTGGGCAGCTCCAGCCCAGATATGGCAGCAATACACCATTTTTGGTCTGATCTGACTCTTGTAAAGATAGAGCAGGGCATAAGGTGTCAGGTACTTTTTAAAGTGATACAAGCTGGAAAGTGAGGATTGGGCAGCTCCAGCCCAGATATGGCAGCAATACACCATTTTGGTCTGATCTGACTCTTGTAAAAGATAGAGCAGGCCATAAGGAGTCAGGTACTTTTAAAAAGCTGATAGGATTGGGCAAGCTGGCAGCAATACACCATTTTGGTCTGATCTGATTGTAAAAGATGAGCAGCTCCTTTTAAAAGTGATACAAGCTGAAAAGATATTGGCAGCAATATGCACCATTTTTGGTCTGATCTGACTCTTGTAAAAGATAGAGCAGGGCATAAGGTGTCAGGATACTTTTTAAAAAAAAGTGGATACAAGCTGGAAAGTGAGGAGGGCCATTGGGCAGCTCAGCCCAGATATGGCAGCAATACACCATTTTGGTCTGATCTGACTCTTGTAAAAAGCTAGAGCAGGGCATAAGATATGGAGCAATCAGGTACTTTTTTAAAGTGATACAAGCTGGAAAGTGAGGATTGGGCAGCTCCAGCCCAGATATGGCAGCAATACACCATTTTTGGTCTGATCTGACTCTTGTAAAAGATAGAGCAGGGCATAAGGAGTCAGGTACTTTTTTAAAGTGATACAAGCTGGAAAGTGAGGATTGGGCAGCTCCAGCCCAGATATGGCAGCAATACACCATTTTTGGTCTGATCTGACTCTTGTAAAATATAGAGCAGGGCATAAGGAGTCAGGGTACTTTTTTAAAGTGATACAAGCTGGAAAGTGAGGATTGGGCAGCTCCAGTCCAGATATGGCAGCAATACACCATTTTTGATCTGATCTGACTCTTGTAAAGATAGAGCAGGGCATAAGGAGTCAGGTACCTTTTAAAGTGATACAAGCTGGAAAGTGAGGATTGGGCAACTCCAGCCCAGATATGGCAGCAATGCACCATTTTTGGTCTGATCTGACTCTTGTAAAGATAGAGCAGGGCATAAGGAGTCAGGTACTTTTTAAAGTGATACAAGCTGGAAAGTGAGGATTGGGCAGCTCCAGCCCAGATATGGCAGCAATACACCATTTTTGGTCTGATCTGACTCTTGTAAAGATAGAGCAGGGCATAAGGAGTCAGGTACTTTTTAAAGTGATACAAGCTGGAAAGTGAGGATTAATCCACAGCTCCAGCCCAGATATGGCAGCAATACACCATTTTGGTCTGATCTGACTCTTGTAAAAAGATAGAGCAGGGCATAAGGAGTCAGGTACTTTTTAAAGTGATACAAGCTGAAAAGTGAGGATTGGGCAGCTCCAGCCCAGATATGGCAGCAATACACCATTTTTGGTCTGATCTGACTCTTGTAAAGATAGAGCAGGGCATAAGGTGTCAGGTACTTTTTTAAAGTGATACAAGCTGGAAAGTGAGGATTGGGCAGCTCCAGACCAGATATGGCAGCAATACACCATTTTTGGTCTGATCTGACTCTTGTAAAGATAGAGCAGGGCATAAGGACTGTCAGGTACTTTTTAAAGTGATACAAGCTGGAAAGTGAGGATTGGGCAGCTCCAGCCCAGATATGGCAGCAATACACCATTTTGGTCTGATCTGACTCTTGTAAAGATAGAGCAGGGCATAAGGAGTCAGGTAAAGTTTAAAGTGATACAAGGCTGGAAAGTGAGGATTGGGCAGCTCCAGCCCAGATATGGCAGCAATACACCATTTTGGTCTGATCTGACTCTTGTAAAGATAGAGCAGGGCATAAGGAGTCAGGTACTTTTAAAAGTGATACAAGCTGGAAAGTGAGGATTGGGCAGCTCCAGCCCAGATATGGCAGCAATACACCATTTTTGGTCTGATCTGACTCTTGTAAAAGATAGAGCAGGGCATAAGGAGTCAGGTACTTTTTAAAGTGATACAAGCTGGAAAGTGAGGATTGGGCAGCTCCAGCCCAGATATGGCAGCAATACACCATTTTGGTCTGATCTGACTCTTGTAAAGATAGAGCAGGGCATAAGGAGTCAGGTACTTTTTAAAGTGATACAAGCTGGAAAGTGAGGATTGGGCAGCTCCAGCCCAGATATGGCAGCA